TAATTCTATGGGTATAGCACCAGAATTAAATATTTTAGATCAAATTATTCCCATTAGGTTTGACAAATTGCATTTGGTGTTCATTTGGAAATATAATTCATATCTTAAAAGGGTGTAATTTTCTGTTTTAATTTCCAAATCCTGTTGAGGGATTTGTGTTAATAAGCAGATTATCGAGATTAATTATTTATGTAAATAATTGATATTTCTTGTCACCTCCTTCACCTTTTTGCATTCACATAGAGAAACAGAGTTACTGTTTTGGGGAAATTTGAGAAAAGAATAGAATGTTTCAAAAGAATGAGAAAAGCATGGCGTGTTCAGACACTCACTCGGAGTCTTTAGTTTTTACTAAATAAAAAATTGTTGTAGGGTTTCGACGAGGCCACTAGCATCTCCTTGTGTTTGGGGAAATTGGATCCCTTTCAGATTCACTTTGTGGGGATTTAGGGAACTTCACATCTTAATCATTTATCATGTATCGTACACTCAGAAATTATTTGACTTTTTTATTTAAAAGTAAACACAACTAATCGCACAATGTACGGTGAACGACTAGAATGTAGGATGGGATCCCCACAAAGTGAATCCGAAGAGGATCATCTTCTGTGTTAGGGGTTCTTTGAAATATTAATGAAATTCTTATTTTCGATAAGAAAATAAAAACAGCAAAAGAAAAAAACCACGCTTTAAGTGCTCGCTTGATAATTATTTTTGTTTTTTATTTTCAAGAGTGCACATGAAGGAATGGCGAACGAAAAAAATGGAAGGAGAAATAAAAAAAAAGGTGTGAAACAAAAACTTAAATACGTTTAATCGGTCTAATCGATTATAATCTTTCATAGTTTCATGTACAATTCTTCTACTACCTTCTCAAGGCTTTATTTACCTTTGCTTCTTGTCTTTTATCTTGAAGTTGAGAAAGGTGATACATTCATCCTTTCAAATTAACGAAATGTTAGGTTTTTATCACAAAAGGTTTTTGAAATAGACATATCATCACTTTCATCCCTAAATTTGAAATAGATAAGTTTCGTCTCTAAAATTGACTTAACAAATCACTTTAATCCTTCATGTCCAATTTTGTTATATTTTCTATTAGTTTGTTGATGTAGCACAATACAGAAACCACAACACCATTCATATATCGTCAATTTGCAATCGTGATTGTCATGAATGTCTGTATATCACTGCGACATCGTGATTGTCATGAACATATGTATATCATTGCGTGAAAAAGAGAAGACAAACATGAATAAAAACGACTGGCCGTAAGCTTTTGGCAATAAGGCCATCTCCAATCGATGGCTGGCCAGAGAGCTTATTTTAGTCGCCCTCCAAGATTCTCCAAGATATTAATATTTTAATGATAGTACAGGGTCATATTTGTCTCCGTCTCCAACCGAGGGCAAGAGGGCTCGTTTTAGCCCTATCACAAAATCGTCTTCAACCGAGAGTCAAAGGGTCATAGGGCCAAACATAATTTATTATTTAAATTATTGAAAAAGTATTGAAGGAAATTATTGAAAAATTGAAAGAAATATTGCAGATGGAAATCTTGAAAAATATATTGAAGGAAATATTGCAGATGAAGTGAAGAATTGAAAGAGCTTCACCATATTTATAGAAGTAAAGAAAAGGTTTAAATTCAAAAAATAAAATAAAAAAATTTGAATACAACGGCTAGCAGTCAGCTAGCCGTTGTATTCAAATTTTTTCAAACTATATGTGTCAGTTATAATCGACACTAATACTAATTAATAAATATCCCAATAGCCGTTAGCCTTAATTCATTATATTCTATACTATTCTTGTCGGTTTTAACCGACAGGAAATCCAACACTTCAAAAAAAAATTGGCCAGCCCGGAGCTGGCTGGCTGGCTAGAAGTGACCAGCCCTCCAGCCCTTCCCGATTCTGTGGGGCCCTCCCAGATTCCAAAGTCCTTTGGCCTAGCCCTCGGTTGGAGACAGTTTTCAGGGCTATTTTCGGCCCTCTGGACCCTTCGGTTGGAGATGGCCTAAGTAGCACAATGTATTTTTTGAGCATTAATTTTCCTTGAAAAAAATGAAATGATGTATGAAATCTTTCTTTTTTTTAAATGAGAATTTCATTAATAAACAAATCGCAGAACATCAAATTCCAGGGGATCCACGCCTAACTAAGATAAATAAACCCAAGCTTTACAAACCGAAACCAGAACCGTCAAGACTGAAAAGAAACACAACAAACCAAAACCAAACGACAAATCAAACATAAAACATAAGAGAACAAGATAAAAGATATAAATTATAATCATACAAGTGAGATAGAATCCAATGGTAAGGACTATGTTGTGTGAGGTATTTTAATTGTTTTTTAATGGCTTTTTAACCAAACTGGTATCTGAGATTTGCATAACTCCTCACTTTGGTCTCAGAGATTTGAAATCAATAGAAGTGGTCCCTAAGTTTGTCCATCATCAATCATTTTGGTCATTTCCTATAAAATTTTGTTAAATGAGGACCAAAATGACAAAAATAACCTCAATTTAATAAACAATTGGCCAAAATGATTTAACAAAAATTGAGGGTATTTTTATCATTTTATCTTTATTTAATGGAGATTTTTCAAACAAAGACTAAAATGATTGATGGTGGACAAACTTGAGGACCACTTCTATTGATTTCAAATCTCCTTGACCAAAGTGAGGAGTTATGCAAATTTCAAAGATCATTTTGCTAGAAAGCCTTTTTTAATTAATGTAGAAATGAGAAAAAACATAATATATATATATATGTGTGTGTGTGTGCGCGTGTGTGTGTGTGTGCGTGCGCGCGTGTGAGTGTACAAACACTCATAATGACAAGTTTTAGAACTTTTATGAAGAAGTCAACTCCGAAATTCGCCGTTATAATCCCATAAACCATTGATTTAAATTTTAACTATTGATTGTCTTTTAAATTTATGCTCCACTCTTCTCACCGAAATTTACCAATGCTTGTTGTGATCGTCTTCCAAGCATAGAGGATGCAATTACAGTTGTTTATATATTCTTTCATATTTTTCACACTTGTACTTAATTATTATAAATTATTATTTATTTTAAACTCTCCTAAAAATATTATTCACAAGAGTTTGTTAGGTTTTAAAAGGGATATGCTATCCACACACTTTATTTTACTTCTCATACACCCCTTGATGATTTCTGTCTTTTGATCTTCTTCAATTCATCTTATCCGACACCCGAAAATTAAAAAGGTGTGTGAGAAGTAAAATGGGGTGTGTGGATATCATACCCCGTTTTAAAAATTCAAACGACAATGTACCTATTGTCAAAGTATAGAGAACATGCTCACGAGGGTTCGCATGGTTTTCATATTTTGTCACACTAGTAAATTAATTTTTATAAAGAGGAGGGGGGATGAAAGCTGCCAGTGGGCCATTATTTTTTTGGGAACTTTAATGAAAGTTCCCTGTATTGTTCACTTTAACGAAAAATCATATTTTTACATTAAAAAGTTAATCCTGGTACTATTCACTTTACCCTTTATTTTGTCATTTTCGTTAAAACTCAAAGTTTTCAAGCTATTTTCATTAGTTTTCCTTTATTTATTTTTTTGCTTTTATGACTTATTTAGGTAGACCATCAATGTGCCACCTACAATTAACTATAATCTTGTAGAAGCTCGAGTGGCAAAGCGAAAACCTTGACCTCTTATTTTTATTTTGGGTTTTTATCACAAATGATTTCTGAAATTGAACAAACCTACCAAGTTGGTCCTTAAAATTGAAAATTAATCAATGTAGTCATTGAAAATTGATACCGCAAATTAATATGGTCATTCCGTTATAATTCTTTTAAAGTTTCTGTTATGTGCTTATATGTCACAAGTGGATTCCACAAGTCTTATTAAATATTACTATAAAATTAAATAATAAAAAATAGGGTAAAAGACTGTTTACTACCCTCATGTTTCGTGGTTTTCAACATTTAGTACATCAAATTTTTTTCGTCTCAGATTCATACCTAAAGTGTAAATTTTGGGACAGTCTCATACATCCGTTAGTCAAACTGTTAAATCTACCATTAATTGTGACGTGGCACCCATGTGGACAATGACTGGACGCCACGTGTCATCCACGTTTTTTTTTTTCTTTCTTTCTTCTTCCTTCCTCCTCCTTCCTTCCCCTTCTTCCCCTTCTTCCTTCTCCTTCTCCTTCATCCTCCGAATCTGGGGAAGGTTTTTTTTTTTTTTTTTTTTCTTCCTCTTCTTCTTCTTCCTCCTCCTTCTTCCTCCTTCTTCCTTCCTCCTCTTCTTCTTCTTCCTCCGAATCTGCCCAGATTCAGTTTTTTTTTTTTTTTTCCTTCCTCCTCCTCCTTCTTCCTTCCTCCTTCCTTCTTCTTCTTATAGATGCTAATATTTAATTATATTTAAGAAACCTACTTATTTACTATTAAAAAAATATTATTTACTATTATTTTTAATATAGATGCTAATATTTAATTATATTTATGAGACCTACTTATGTGACACATAAGCACATAATAGAAAATAGAAATTTTAACGAAATGACCACATTGATTTGCGACATCAACTTTCAAAGACTATATTGATTGATTTTCAATTTTAAAAACCATCTTGATAGGATGGTTCAATTTCAATGATCATTTGTCATAAAAACCTTTTTATTTTTTATTTGTGTAAAGAGCATCCTCCCTGATTCCTACGGTCTGAACAACAAAAATGAAACAGCAATCAGTAAAAATTGGGGTTAAAGAACACGACAGATTCCGAAGAACATCATGAAGTCCCCGGAAAGGCAAAGTTGTATAAATGCACAACACCATGGCTCAATGTTCAGTGCATCCTTGGTCGAACAAGAAACAAAATCATTCATACAATGCTTGAAATGTTTACCGGCCACCTCTTCTTCCTCTACCGCGATCCTCCCTCTCCCTCTCTCCACGGTCTCCCTCGTCTCTTTCTCCTCTTAAACTCAAAAAAATGGAAGTCATGCCTGGTTGAAGTACTTTGAAGAAAGACTCACAAAAAAGGTTAAGTTGCAAAAGTTTTATCCCAGCTAGAAAATAGCACAAACCGTAGAGGATACCAATTTCGAACTTCTCATTAAAAACCATCCTCACCTTATAAGGGATGTAGACATGGTATATGCAAATAATATAGAGCTTTAAAGAATTTTAACATGCAGGATCAGAAATCCTTATATATTGTGATTTCCTTGGTCACAAGAGAGAATTTCTTGGAATACATAGAAATTAATGCCAGGCACGTGTATAAATAGACCCATATATATACAAAAGAATAGCTAACCGTAATTCGCTCTCCTGCAAGTTCTTTCTCTAGCATCTCTCGTTTCCGCTGTTCTCTGTATTCAGTATAATCAAAAGGCTCTGCCAAAGCTTTTGCCTGCCAGAATGTATATACTATAAAATAATGCAAACTTTGTACAATAACTAGAAGTAATCAAAGAAATACCCTAATCGAGCATGGAGAACATCAATGACTATGAAGATATGCATTCATCACTGACACAAGATTTAAACACTAACCCTAACTGTTAACACATTAGCTCACTAAATCCTTCAACTGCCCAAAACATGCATTTCAAAATAATATTTATAACCAAATTGCCTGTGTGATCTCTTTTCATGTTTTCCATATATGTCCCTGGATTCGCTTCTCCCTAAAAAATGTTTCAACCTAATTGTAAATGAAAGACAGAGGAGGCTATACACAATGAATGATACGAATTGTTGTGTTTCTTGTAGCAATCATGGCACCAATTGCTAAATATAAAAAAAAAAAACATACGTACAAAAGGGAGGCTAACCTTTTTATACAACCGATAATCAATAAAAAACCCATGCATGTAAGCTCGAAGTAGATTGGTCCCAATGAGACCAGTCAACTTCAACCTCTCGAGGTCTTCTTTTGTCAAAAATTTGAAATCATCATAAATAGTAGTCTGTTCACCCTCCTCTAGCTCCTCCTGTAAAAAAGAACTCGAACATTAGAATATAACTGAAGACCTCAAAAGAGATGAAACTAAATCAATGTGGGAGATGTAAAATAAACCCACAGTAAGGTTTTGCAGGTAAGAACACCAATTCGGAGCAGGTCCAAGTTCAGGTATAAAATAAGATGGAATCTGACTGCAGTCCAGAGCAAGCAACATCAACCCACTGCCCGGGAATGTACAAATATCATTAATTGTGCCAGCCGTTGGCTCAATGCTGGTCATGCCTTCACCCTGCAGACAATGGGAATCTACTTAGCAAAACTATAAAATCCAACATCAATCCCAACCATTATATGATAACATCTACGCCGTTACACCGTAAAATAAAAATAAATAAATAATGTGTTTTAAAATATAATTTCTTACCGTGTCAGGATCCCATATTCTAACAATATGATTATCAGTGGTTATCAACTTTGGCCCCTCAGAGTTTAGAGTTTGATGCCATTTAATGTCTAATATCGGGCTACCATACCTATACACCAACGACAGGGTTTTCAACAGCAAGTTATAAAAAGAAACAATTCAGACTCCCTCAGTGTTCTAATCATAAAAAATAAATAAAAATAAATAAAAACATGAGGTAATACTCACATGTGATCCTTAACCTGTATAGGATGTGATGAGCGCAAGTCATAGATGAGCACCTGCAAATTCAACCACACGATTGAAATTAGATTTCTGTGGACATATGAGTGAAAGGATTTGGATTCATTCTATAGAAACCAAAATGTAAAATGAAAGTTGAATTCTTTTTTGAACATTGGGCATGCTTCAGACAGGTCTTTACAACTTAATGGGAAAGCAAACAATGTTTCTCGAATATGGAAACCTGATATGCAATAAAATAAGATATGGGGATGCCAAAACTAGGATACAGACACAGATTACAATGTAGGACAATAAGAAGAGATCCGGATTCACTCCAGCCTTTGGCATCACACCAAAGTTTTTCCAGCATAGAAATCAGAAAAATTCCAGCATTACTCCAAACATGTGCCTCACATACACCACCATTAATCACATTAACACTATTTTTAAAGATCACAAAGTAGCCCCTTTATAGAGTGATTGGCACATGGATCCAGAAAACTGAAGTTCCACATTAATATTTAGGAACTCTAAAGACGTAATTTGACACCTAATACATTAGTTATGTAGTCATTAAATTGTTAGCTACTCAACAAAAGACTTTATCATGTAAAATCAACACCTACCTTATGCTTGGCAAGTTATCCCTTATCTGATTACCTTTTTTAATCAGAGATGATTACCTCGTTTTCTCTTCAATGCTAATGTTTTTGCCAATGAAAAATCATCATCCCACCACGTCAAGACCATATCGATTTGGACAAATAATTACGCACTCTCTCAAGGATACAATATTAAGAAACAAAAAATAACTGTTCACCTCATGTAGACAAAAAGAAGACAATTCACTTGACTTGTAAGAGAAAGGTTTATGAAAAATTGTTGACAATTTGACAAACAGTGCCGATTAGCTTCTAAGTTGGTTGATGCTTTTGTTTTTCACTTGAAAGAGTACAAGTCACCCTTTCAAGAGCCACTAGTTTATCTCAAGTTTCCCTGTCCTTACGTGTCACGGAAACAAGTGGCTGTCTTAAACAATTATATGATTGCCAAGCCTACCCATGCAAACAGAGATATACGGAACCAAACAATTGTTCAAATTACATTTTTTGAATCACAACTGAAGAAAACTGCAGTAGTTATTGCATTGTTAGCAATGAAAAATATGGCACAGTTTTCAACTTCTGATAACACGCATAATTAAATTAAATCAAAGCTATATCATCACAAAAATGTGAAAGTATAGGATAACTTTTTAGTAAAAAGAAAATTGACATAATACCTTTCCAGCACTGCTTCCAACAGCCAATTGGAAACCCGTTTTTTCATCAAACTCTAATGCAGTGACTTCCTGCAAATCCAGGAGGAAGTCAGATTAAGGACAGCCATGTCTGATTCAAAGTTGATGAGAAAATGTAGTAATCAGCGGAAACATAAAAATACCACCAATGCCTATGTCTTAGCAAGTGGAATAGAGAGCAACAGAAAACTTTATTCCCCTGCCACGCATCTGTTCGTTGGACTCGTTAACTGACCAAATCATTTAATCCAATTACAAATGGGAATTTTGGTTTGGTTTAAACTAGGAGACGGCCTCCAAGAGAAAATTTGGAGGTGGTTTGGAATTTGGAAACTTGATGGCTAGAAATAAAGGAAAACTAATGAAAAGGGCTTGAAAACTTTGAGTTTTAATGATAAGGACAAAATAAAGGGTAAAGTGAATAGTACCAGGATTGACATTTTAGTGTAAAAATGTGGTTTTTCGTTAAAGTGAACAGTACCGGGAGCTTTTCGTTAAAGTTCCCTACAAATAAAGCTCTTCTAGCGTGGTTATGGAGGTTTGCATTATGTGCGGGAAGCACTACGGCATTCTGTAATAAATATTAAATAAGGGATTTCGTCCAATGGGTGGGACTCCAACTTTGTTTTGACCGGAACTTTTCGTAGCCCTTGGAAGGACCTTACCCATGGCCACAACTCATTTATTATGAACTGTCACTTTGTTGCCGGAAATGGTGAAAGAATCATGTTTTGGGAAGATACGTGGTTGGGGGATTCACCTCTCAATCTCAATTTCCATCACTCTACAATTGGTTTGGTTGTTGGAACACGGACACTTCTTGCTTTGTGGACTTGTCCAATGGTTGGAGTGAAAAATTAATCACCGCAGAGATGAAATATAAACAAGGTATATCATTTTGAAAAGCCAAAGGTTCAACAGGTTTTTACAATAATAAGTTAAGTATGATATAAATAAAACAAAAGAGGAAATAGCAAAGGATGCCGTAGCTCTTCCCGCACAAGAGTTGTTAATATTAGCCCCACAAGAGTTTGTGAATAAGTGATTAAAGATGCATTTCTACGTCTATTCTTAGAATTGAAACAAATTACTTTATCTAATTATATAATTCAAGGAAGAATTGGAATTTAAGGTTCAGGAGAAATTTGAATGACAGTGAGGTGTATGAGGATTCTTCTGTTTTGTGCTTACTGGACAGTGTCCATTTTCATCTGTTCTGTGCTTGCTGGACAGTGTCCTGACCCATTCATCTAGGATGGACTCAAGAAAATGGCCTCTGGATAAAGGGAATGAGTCATGCCAATCTGACTAGACTTTTCCCATGGCTTAATTATACTGACAACCATGAGTCAAAACCACACTAGCCCAAACCACTGTTGCACTCCATAACTATTCCACACTTATCCAGGACATTGACTCCATTGCAGAAACCAAGCACACTTCTGTCTGTAGAAAAGAGTATTTACTCTAACAAATATATAAAAAGCCTCTTACCTGGTCAAAGTCACCAGCAGGTGCAACAGCATTAATCCTGCCAGCTGAAGATTTCATTCTCAAGTCAAAACATTCCACGGCACCATCCTCACCACCACAAGCAACAAGACCATGAAGCTTGCTGAAATTTCAAAACAAAATATCCTTAACCTAGACAGCTAAGGAAAAATAACCAATATAGCTATATAAGGGTATCCAGCATGTGTCTGATAACAACAGAATATAATGAACCTATAATAGAAAGAAAACAAAGATCAACAAGCCACCTCCGAGAAACTATATTTAGTGCTGGCGATTGTGTGCTAAGGGAAGAGAGGAATCGCCCCTGCAAACATGCAAAACTGTTATCGACAGACTTTATAAATTAAGGGGAATTCAAAGGAGTCTATTAAAGCAAGAAACCTGTTCCAAATTAATCCTGTATAATTCTGGAGAAGAGGCAGCACAAAGCAAGTCACAAGACCAGCAATCATATGCAAGATCCCTTCCCATTCTGTACACCCAAGTTAAATAAACTCATTATACAATGAATACCAAACTTTTATAACTGGTATGATTATCTTTTCTGCAAGGAAAAAATTTTGAAATGTCGAGGTAAGATTTTCATCTACTATAGAGAGGGCAGTGGACAAAAACAAAGTACATATTTGGAAAAATGCTAGACATGCAAAACTATGTTTTAAAACAAAAAAAAGTAGATGCAAACATTTTTATGTATTTATTTTACATTTTTTTTTCATATTTTTAATATATGGGTAGCCTTTCTTTCATGAGTTGGTGGTTTTTCAACTCATTAGATGATAGAAATGGTGTTAACATGATGCCTGTAGAGAGTGTAAATCCCACATCCGGGAAATGGGGGAGTAGCCCAACTCCTTATAAGCCCATGCTAATCTTCTTTACTTTCCAATGTGAATATCTGAATAGTTTCAGGCTCATTTCAAATAATAAAGGAGTGAAAACTACAAAATTTCAAATTTTGAGTGATACAATAAAGGGCACTCTATTTTGTGGTGTGTTCTATGTTAAAAATTCACCAAGACATTTACAGACGCACGCAAACACCTACACACTAATCTAAATACAAAAACTTTGTCAAAATCTGCGAGAGTACAAACCATAAGCAAAGCAAAGAAAATACATGGTTTACACAACATTTCATGCATGGCCCATAAACATAAGCAAAGCATAAAAGGAAACCTTGGAATCCGCAAGCTGTAATGCTTTCCATATTTCGCATGTAGATAAACAGAACGGTCAGCACACAAAAACGCAAGCTTTGAATAATCATCGGCCAAAACCTAAATGAGCAAGTAAAGGTTAGGCCAGTATTAATTCAAACTTCAAGTGAACATCTCAAGAACAGCACAATACTGTCATTGTTACATAGAAACTATACAAACTTGAATAATTGTGGATTTCAGAAGGAGAAAACAATTTAAAAGGAAACTGTATTTAACCAAGGGGAAAAAGAGGCTGCGCTTATAAGATCAAATAGTAGGGTTTGAGCCCATATGGTGTTCTTAAGTTGCTTAAGAAAGAATACTCAATCAAACTTACAATTTTCATTACTAGTTAATAAAACTTAAACTCTTGTAAGAACAAGTAATTGATTTCTTTTTTCAAGTTCATCAGATTCCATAGAAATGAGCAAGAACGACTGACTGACATTGCAAGCAGTAAGGCAGGTTAAAGTAACAACCAATGGCGCAATATTCAATAATAAAAAATTTGAGAAATTTTCCAGGATAGGAGAACTTGAATGATAAAATATTGATAAAACCAGCTGAAGCCGAAGACAGAGTGGCAATAGACCATGAAAAAGTATTTCAAATACCATTGTTACATCAGATATGAATCCAATTGGTGAAACTAAACTACCTGAAAATCGATTATCTCAGAGTCCAAGTGCCTTTCAAACTTGAGTGAAAGTTCCCTCAGCTCATAAACTTTGACTTGTGGTGGGTAAATACCTGGATTTCAATAGTAAAAAAACACAATTAAGAAAAGTTAGTATTTTGCAACTCTATTTTGCGAACATACACACAAACATACATTCTGTGCAGAATTCCCTTTTGATTGTGAAAATAAAACTACATACCAAACACGACAGAAAGTAAACTTTAAAAGCACCTGCTGCAATTAGAAACTCTCCGTCAGGAGTTGCCTTGATTTTGGTCGTTGCAGTTTCAAACCTCAGATCCTGGATCAAGTCCACTCTTTGCATATAGTCTGAAAATAAACAGTGAATAAAAGTCTCTCATTACGTAAAATTGGTGCTAAAAGCATCTCTATAATTATTACTTTTTTTTGGAAATTGAGACAAATTTTAATTGCAGAAAACACTAAAAATACAAGGGCGGACAAGATGTCCACAAAAACAAAACAGAAGTCAGAAAGTTCTATGGATACAAAGTACTACATTAATTGTAAAGTATGTCAACTTTAAAAGATATAGGCATTAGGAAAAAAGAAACACCTTATCTCAAATAGCTACTGTGTGTATGTATGTATGGTTAGAAAGATAAGTAGAAGGGTCATGTTGAAGGTCTTATTGACAATTATCACTATGTAGAAGCAAGTTTCTTAAGACGGGACCTCTGAAAATTATAACTTATTACAATGTGGAGTTTATTCATATAATTGGCCCGAGTTGGGACCAAAATTGCGTATAACTAAATAGACGTTATCCTCACAGAGTATCACTATAAACAGGTTTTATTTTACATAATAAATATTAAACATTTAATTAACAGAGGATCTTTCTATAAGAATTGTTATTTTTCCTTTTAACAGGGATTCAATCTTCACACGCAAATTAGACAACGTTCGGTATAATCCAAAGACCCAAACTGACAAATTTTAAATGTTAAATTTGTAAAGCACATATAAAATTTCAAAAACAAGAGAAAACAAACAGATAGTGCTCTATAACATCCAATTACTGATCACAGATTCCACCATAATGTTCAAATCATTTTACAAATCCAAAACTTAGCAGCTGAAGTCGAGAATTAAGTAAAAAAAAAAAAGGTACTTTGGTCTTTGCGAAGAGCTCGACGCTTCTTAGGGTTAAGCCAGGTGGCGAGAGAGCGTTGCTGGGAAGCAACGCTGTACATCTTGACACCATTGATGGAGGTCGACTTGAGTTTGCCTCCGTCGTACGCCATGGAACCGGAAGGAATGAGATTCTGAGAAACTTAAAGCATAAACAAACAAAAATACAATAAAAAAATATCAACAATTAATCCAAATAGTGATTCTTATACAAAAACAACAAATACTCAGAAATCAAATACAAAATATCATCTCTTTGAGGTTATTTCTCCTATTAATACAATAATTACAAAACCCTGTACCGATCAAACAAATAAAAATTTAAAAAAAATGAAAAACCAAAAAGTGTGTACCTCGGGATTAAATCGGTGGTGGTTTGGAGAGGATAGATAGTTAGGTGGGAGGAACTCGTGACAGGAGGTACGGCTGGCGGTGGCCGCGGCGGAGAGAGAGAGAGCGTAGGGAGAGACGGACAGCGGCTCGTCTCTATTACGGAGTGGGGATGTGGTGCGGAGCAGCAGACGATTACAACACTACGTTTTTTCGGTTGAGGGTTTAGGGTTTATAACACAAACCGACCCATTTCTATTTGACCCGGAACCAACTGGAAAGAACCCATTCTCCTATCCGTATCTGTTTAACAGGACTTGTCCGGATCGTGTAATCCAGACCGTCCCCTCAAATCTTGAGGTCACAATTTGATTTTTCCTTTTTTGGGCTGGTTTCCCGAGGAACGACGTCGTACTCCGAAACAACGTTGGTCGTCCCCCCTCTTTCATTTGGCCTTCAGGCGCGATTTCTGTGGGAGTGGGTTTGTGATTTTTATTTTTTTATTTTTATTTGAGTCTGAGTTGGTTTGTGTTTAAAACACTCACTTTTGAGTGTTTTCAAGAAAGCTATTTTAAAGTTCGTCTTAACATCAATTTTTGAAAATACTCTTGCAAGGATTCAAATCTGAAAATTTGTTTTTTTAATTAAAATGTAAGATTCAAGTAGAAGACCAAACAAAGATCTTAAGATGTAACATTGTAAGTATGTTACTACTAGGTCTTTTTTTACTCATGAAATAATACAAGCTTGGGAAAGGCTCAAATAAGGCCCAAGGAAGGAACATAAGACCAAGACAAAGGGACCATTGACCAGCTCAAAAAAACTGGAGGAAATAGCCTCGAGCGCTATAAACGACCGCTCAATGGTCTGATTTGACTCTCAACAAGTAAGTCGAGCACCTTCTTATAAAGTACTTTCCGACTATGTAAGGCAAGTTGGCAAATTGACAACTTTATAGCACGAAGTCCTAGGAGCCAACCTACTTAGACACTAACCCTAAGCCATGTGTGCACCATCCAGCCTATGAAGGGACCTTAAAGGTTGTCACACCCACTGCTCGAGGTGTGTACCTTTGATTCAATAGGGCCGAACAAGGCACTCGGTACACATTGGCCCATGAAACCATGCAATTAGGCATGAACAAATGTCACTTCATCGCTGCATGTCAACTGAAGAGCATAGTAGTACCCAACAAGAGCAGAGGAGTACCCAACAAGCTATGTCGACATATATGGTTCATTATATGCAAAAGCGATGGAATACTTGAGCCCAGGGCTTTTGAGGCTCATTGAGGGCCTATATAAGGGGAATGAGCACCTCTTATCAACGGTCGGCCACAAGAAAAAAAAAAGATTAGACTCTTACCAAGCATTTTTTGTAACCAATCTTCAATATATATACGAGCACTACAATGAACGCAGCCAATTGTAAGGGGTGAACTACTTAATCCTTGTTGTCAAGTTATTACAATTTTAATTACGAGCCCACCAAGGACCGACCGTACTGGTCTTTGTTAGCCTCCCATCTTTTAACGTTAACAAAGTATATTTGTTTCTGAATAATTAAACGATCTTTGTTTCAAATGATTTTTTGTAAGGATAATTTTTTTTAATGAAGATTACGAAATTGAACGATTCCAGTTACAATTTATAAGGTGAATTAAACAGAACAACGTAGAGACTAAAAGAGACCTAAAAAGAATTAAACAGAAGGACACGATTTGGGATAATTTCCAAAATAGAGTCCAACAAATTCAGGAAATCAGGATCATGGCCTGATTAGAGTCGGAATGAATTTACCAAGAGACTACGGTCACAAACCATTACCAATAGCTATATTTGTAGGAGAGGATGAGTGAGTCGTCGAAATTCGTAGCTATCTCTCGTTGCATATCTCTGTATTTGCAAGGCACCTGAGTCAACTAATGATAGATATGTGTCGATGCAACGTCAAAGTTATAAGGAATTGAGATGGATTAAGCAAGCATGTGGATGTCTACTCTGTGGGTGCTCGGTGTTGATTACCGTTTGCATACCAAAGACTTCTCGGTAGCAGATCGACGGCATCTTGACTGTATGTTGATAACAATTAGGTCAAAACTGAGAGCACATGAAATATCAACGATATCTAGATTATATATCGATGACTTAGCGACGACATCTTTACTGTGTGTTGATAACTAGTAGGTTGTAATTGACACATGAAATATCAAGCGACTTGCTGAAAAACAAAAGAAAATGATGTATATGGTCAGGTACATTGCTGGGACTTCCTGCAGTGAATACACAGGGACAGCCAATATACGAATGTAAGTTTCAAAACAGACTTTAAATATGAATAACATCAACTAATGCACTGGGACAATATCATGCGCTGCAAGACGATTTAAGATGAAAAACAAATCATATTCTAAACAAGCAAACGCGCAAACAACGTGCGAAAGGAAATAGATTCTTGTTGATGACGGGTTATAAAATAAAAAGGCAGAAGAATGGAGTGTTTAATCTACTCATTATGCCTCATGAAGTAGGATTTTGAGTTGCACAACCCATATAACACACAGGCAGCAGAGGCGTAAGCAGAAGTGTCTCTCAACTGTGCACGGGGAGGGGGAGATGTGATGCGTTGGTGAGGCATCGCATCAGCATCTGGTAAGTTGGAAGTGGGAGGGAAAGGGAACTTAACAAAACTTCCCTTGTTTTTTGGCAGTGCTTCGTTTGGTTGGTGGACCTCTGGTTCACCAAGTCATGAACTGAGGTTTGAGATCTTTAACAAAATCTCGTTTCTCATAAAAATAAAAATAAAAAAATTCAAAGAGAAGAAAAAGGAGAGATGCATCATGCAATTACTCGCAATCTACGGTTGCAGGACGGGAACCTACAAGTCTACAAGGATGAGAATCCATCTAGAAAAAGTCAAGCATAGATACTGTCAACAAGGCGCTTAAAGGACCAACAACAATCATAAAGGAACAAAGCACCAATATGCAGTAAAGAGGGCGGCAACTAATACCCTGAGTATGTATGTCCAGTTTGGTGATTCTATTGTCAAAATAAAAGCTCCACAACACGTAACAAGAAAGCTTTCATATCAGGAACTCAATATAGGAAAGAATATGACAAGTAGAAACAGTCACATTGAAGATTGAACGCTAAGGAATCAAAATCAAACTGAACTGAATATGTCGAAAAAGAAAAGCAAAATCGAAAACAAAGACAAAAGGAAGGAACCAGAAGATAGAGTAAAAAAGAGGTTAGACAACCAAAAGAAAAACAATCAGCTTGTTATGGAAAACGAAATATGCACTATTCAATATGCTATGCAAGGAAAGCCTAAAACGAAAAGAACATAACTTCTATATACATCAAAATAATATTTCTACCGAACCAGTGAGGTCTTCCACCTCCTCGCCAAGCCATCATATTTCTCCCTTGCACCTCTCCCATCCTTATAGTAGGCACTCTTCAAGCTCGCCATAGTTGATTCATATATGTTGATCCTTCTATCAAGCATAACATCAGCATTCCTCTTCAACTCCGACAACCTATCTAATTTACAAAGGCCCAAAAGCAAGGCATTGGCAGCGGCGTCAAGAGGCTCGACGTTGCTTTCAAGCATAGAGTTCCAAAGCTCAACCCCCATTTCGGGGTCGTCCCCATCAAAAAACATGGTGATGGCCGCAGCAAAATTAGCATGAGTCGGAAGCCACTCATTCTTCACCATCTCCACAAAAAACTTACCGGCCTCGCGAACCTTGTTGTTCTTAATCAAACACTTAAAGATCGCATTGTAAGTGAAAGAATCCGGAAAAGCACCATGAAAAACCATCTGATCAAGGAGCCTAAACGCGTCATCGATCTCATTGCAATCACACAACAATCCAATCATAGCATTGTACATTGACAAATTAGGCATTAATCCATTACCAACCATAACATCCCAAATCGAAATCGCATTCGTTGAATCCTTTCGCTTAACAAGAGTATCAAGAGCGATGGAAAAGAATCTCAAACCTGGCAAGCAGCCATTCTTCTTCATCACTCTCAAGAACTTGACAGCCTCCTCCGCTTGTCCCCCATTCACCAGCGTCGCCAAAAACGCGTCGTAAGCTGCCACGTTCTCCAGTCCCCACCCAACTTTCACCACCATCTCCCCAAACGTAGTCTTCGCCTTCGCCACCTCCCCTTCCTTCTCCAGTCCTTCAAGTAAAATGGCAAACGAATCGCCATCCGGACCATATTCGGGCTTCGATTTCATGGTCTCGAGGAAGTCCAGAGCCCTCTCAACGCCTCCGTCTGCGCGGCACATTGCGCTGAGGAGGGAATTGGCGGCGACAACGTCTTGTGGGATGTCATATTTGTCCATGACTTGAAAGGTCATGACGGCGTCGTTGAACTTCCCGGCAGCGCAGTAATTGGAGAAGGCGGCGGCGAAGGCGGGCAACGAGAGGGTTTTTTCTTGTCGCATCGAGCGGATGGCGTCCCACATGGACTCGAAAAGCCGGTTGCGGCCGAGGACGTCGACCATCAGGTTCCAGGCCTGAGCCGAGTGCTTGTGGGCCAACCCGGCCCATTGGAAGAACTTTACGGCGGAGAAGGGGTAGTCGTAGGAGAGTTTGAGGACTTGTATGACGACTTCGGCACTGGGGATGATTCCGGTGGAGGCGAGGGCGGCGCCGATTTGCTGGGGTGAGGTTCGGATTAGGATGTCGAGGAAGACCTTGACGGCTGATGAGATGGATTCCGGTGAGATGTGGATTTGCGAAGAAGGGGGAGGGCGAATTGAGTGCGGTGGTGATATTTCATTCTCCGCCATGCCCTCCTCCATGTTAACCTTGAAGATGAAGTTGGACGAGGACCTCCTTTCACTTTTTCCATGTTGATAACTTATTATAATTCGGTAACTTAGCCGAAAAATTAATCCTAAATATTTTGAGAATTATTATTAGAACTTTAAAAATTTCATTTAACATCTTAAATTTTTTATAATTAGAAAGAAAGAGTACAGAATGAGACTTTTGGAGAGCTAATAACAATTCCTAATATTTTAAAAACTTTTATTTACATTTACATTTTTACCATATTGGTATAACTTCTAAGAGCACTTACAGTGTTGCTAGGCTCCCTGGGCTAAGGCAACCAATCCCCTAAAATGAATAGTAATTGCCTCTATTGAACAGTAATTGTCTAAGTGCATTTTCATCCCTAAACTGAATAGTTAAGACAATTCG